CTACAGCTGATCAGTGTTAAAAGAAAACAAATGAGTAGACTGGTGCCTGCAAAAATAAATGGGTAAACCAGTGCCTCCAAAAACAAATGAGTAGACCGATGCCTGCAAAAATAAATGGGTAGACCGGTATAGTTCTGCAAGCAGTTAAGAAGCCTGGTAGACCAGTACCTCTGCTAAATCCTAAATAATTGTCACATGACCATCAAGCCACACCCACAAAATAAGCCGTGCCCACAGAACTGGTAGTAAAAAAATTTAGAACCCACCCCTGCCCTGCTCCTTATCCTTTTTTAACATCTTTCAGTTTTTTCCCATAGCGGCCTATACTTTTTTGTCCCCTGATTATATGCCTGTCTCTGTTCTGGTTGAATTTTTTTCCTGGATCCTTTTTAAAGCATAGTACTTAGAATTAAGCACAATAGTTGAGGTAAGGTCGGACCAATGGAGAATAGAGTACAACAATTATTTCTGTGATTTGCAAAGTAGGCTTCAGGTTCACAGAACCTTTAAAAAAGAATTCACTTGCTTTGCAGACACAGCACACTGATGGCTCATTTTAAGTTTGCAATCGACAATTATTTTAAAACCATGTAACTTTTAAATGCACTCGCTTCTTTTAAATTGCATTGTTATTTTCAGCCCCATTTCTTTGACCTATTGTGACTGTTTTGAATATTATTTCTATATTCCAGGTCTGGAGTTCTCAACTTATTTTTTTGCTCATGGAACCCTTCTGAGCCTCATTTACCTCTGTGATCCCTCAGTCACTGCTGAAGGTACTTTATTGTATGCACTGTTTATTAATCTGTATCATATATTGTACTATAAACTATAGCGATTTTCATTGATTATGCTGCTGAAATTAGCAGAGATACTGAAATGTGAGGATTATGACAAATGTCTTGCTGTTAAGTTTGAATACTTCTAAAAATTCTCTGTGGCTTCCTAGAAATACAGGATGACTTCATCAGGGGCCATAGGGCTCCTTTTGAGAATAACTGCTACAGAGCAGTATTTCTTAACCTTTTTACTCTCAGGACCCCATCTAGTAGTGGGTTGCCCCCGGTTCACACCGGTTCTATAGAACTGGTAGTAAAACCGGCGGAAGGCTCCGCCCACCAACCCCGATGTCACTAAAACGCTTCTGCGCATGCGCAGAAGAGCACGCACACGCGCAAGCAAAGCAAGCGCACAGGGCCCTGCTGCAAACCGGTAGTAAAGGTAAGTAGAACCCACCCCTGACCCCATCCCATATTATGGACGACCCAAAGAGCTTTTGTTTATAAATCGATGCATTCACAGAATATTTATCGAGTCATGTAAAAATAACAGTATTAAATCCATCAGATTACTAACATGTTTCAGAAAAAAAAATTATTTAGAAATAAAAATAGCGAGAAGCGTGACATTATTTTACATTTTTTCAAATATCTTCAATATTTGGCAAATAATTGTGATTTTAGCTATCCCATTCAATTTTATGTTACAATGTCCCACTAATGCTTCAATAGTTTGCTAGCTAGAATAGGTGTTTATAAGAAACACTAATTTCTGCACCTCATCCTATCTGTTTCTCATAGAAAACCTCAATTGGACCCAAGTGCAAAGTTAAATGTTTGGCAACAATAAAGGGGAAAAGAATGTGAGATCATTAAAAACATCTTGGTTTCTCAAACAACTCAAATCATCCCTACCCAAAAGAACTCCATCAGGAGGTGTGTTTTTTTGCAAAACAATTTTTGTATTGATACTAATTGTCATTTTTATTACTGTGTATTACTGTTCTCCTAAGCCAGAGCAAGACAACCCACTATTTTAAAAATTCTGCTAAGAGATCTGAAGTAGAATTTCTGACTCCCTGCTGTTCAATAAGAGCAGGTAGAGGCACCTGCCTACTTTTGGATCCTAAGAAGGATCAGGGTTGGCAGGTTCTTAGACCTGCCACTAGACCACTAGAAGAAATTGCAAGCTATAATAGGAAGTCAAAAAAAGTCTACTTCCACCTCGAAAATTACTTCCACCCCATTGTCAAGAATATTATATGGTTATATCCATGAAATCAACAGAAATCAAACTTGACTCAAAGGCATTTGACCTACACTTAAATTTACTGCCAAGACTTGCCAATCATAAGTTCCAAGACAAATTCCTAGTCCTATCATTCTTTAATTCTATGTCCTTTGCATTACTTTGAGACATTATCTGATACAGGTTTTCATTATTGTCTCACATATCTGACATCTGCTAAGCCTGGTTTAAAAAACTGTAACTGCTGCCCCCTAAAAAGGAGACCTTCCCAGCATTAATGCTACCCTGTTTTCCCCAAAATAAGACATCCCTTGATAATAAGCCCAATCGGGCTTTTGAGCGCATGGCAATAAGGCAAAGTGCTTATTTTAGGGTTCAAAAAAATATAAGACAGAATCTTACTTTCGGGGAAACACGCTATTAGACCACGGGGATAAATTCTGGTATTTTTAATTTCACTATAAACATAGTAAATATTAAGAAAAAGAGGTTGGGATGCAGAAGAATCAACATTTGAAAATCATAAAATAAAATTTAATGAGGTAGCTGGTCATATTAGAAGCAGATTCAGAATGTCTTCAAATGCTACAAATTATAAATTATTCCATCTATTATTACAATTTTATGCCATAATATTTTCCTCTTCAAGCATGAAAATATATTCCAGCACCTACAAAATATCAAGCACCTTAGAGCGTCTTGTTGATCTTGTATTTGTATTAATGGCATGTAATGTGTTTGAAATGTGGCTGACTGACAAAGAGATGAATACATACTGGTTCTCCATTGTTCAGAATAAGGCCAACACCACAGGGTTGGGGAATTTATTGAGTACCCCAATATTTCAACCCAAGCCTGCAAAACAATTTATAAAGCACAGAGATTCCAACTAAAAGTTACTCTCAGCAGGATGTATTTCCAGAAGCTGTCAAGACTTCAACTAAAATTGTGCTAAACAGGATTCCAAAATTTCAAATACAAACATATGAGATGCATATGTGATTTCATAATAACTCATGTTGTGGTACAATTGTAGATACTTAGCCAGCAGTCAGTGAACATTTAATGTTCCACGTTTTACAAGATATATGCTGCATACTCATGGAAAATCAAATTTCACTACAACCCTTCTGAAAAGAACAAGAGCGATACTGATTTCAAGTGAAACATACTCCCAACAAGTGCATTTAGGATTATTTGCTCAACTTCACAAAGTTATGTTGTCGTCAGGTTTCTCATCACTAATCTATCAATAAATGGTAACAGGAGGTGGAACTCTTTGTAAAATTTGTGGTGTATCATAGGAATATGATCGATCATTAGAATAAATAATTTTCTGGACTTGATTTGACTGGATTGAGCAGGGCTGCTATTTCTCATCTGTTAAAGGCTAGATTATCATTTTCTAGTAGGCTCCAGTGTAGATGTATTATGGGAAAAAGTTCAGCAGGAAACTTTTCCCACTGTCCATTTGTATTTTTATCTGTCCTGTAGCTGTTAGAAAGCTGACCTCTGTGAAGTGAGAGTTAGATATTTTACTTGAATTGGAGACTTCAATTGTCTTCCTGTGATATCAAGGTACTGTACTCTCCAGATGCCCTGAAAAGTTTGGGGCAGGGATACACATTCTTTCATGGGATGAAAGATTTATTGGCTTTTGAAAGGGGCACACGCTCCAAAATGGAAACTGGGCCAGATGAATAAAATACAGTGAATGTGCTTTGTACCTTATACATTAAAAATTAAAGAGTGTCCTTGATAAATCAAATAAGTAAATTAATATAGCAGCGCTTTCTGAAAATGCTTTTGAAGGCTGGTTTAGAGTCTTGATTATGTTTTACTTATGGAATGAGCATAAGCTTTTTTTTTTTTTTTGGCATCAGAACAAACCCGCATAAAAGTTTTTTTTCAGTTTAATTTTACAAATATCGCAAAGACACCAACCAATCCTGGTAAGTCCTATGGTGGCCTTGTAGCAACTCTGAATGCCTCTGATGCAGATTGCAGATCATATTCAGAGCCAGCTGTTTTTTGCGGCTCATCCCAAAGAAGTTCCAAGGTCCTTGGAAATATTATTTTCACAACCTCCCGGTTTAAAAGAGGCAGTTCTGTAATCAAACATATTTCTGTGGGGGGAAAAAAAATCTCCTGCTCCTAAAAGCCAGGTCAGCAGCAAGCAGTTAAGAAATAAAGAGTACAAAGAGTGCTTTTCTTCAGTGGAAGTCCCACTTTATCCATCTGTGAAATGGGAACGAAAGGCTTAACTCGGCTTTTTGTTCTTTCCTTGATGAAATCCATAGATGGAACAGCAACCACTGGATTTTTATGTATTTTTTTTTTCTATAAAAGAGAGAGCTGATTTGGCCCACGTTTCTGCTACTTGAGCAGAGAATCTCTAAAAGGGACTTTCCTTGCTCTGTCCCATCCTGGCTGGTGTGTCAAGCAGCACCTGGAGCTTCTCACACCCTCAGCCTGCCGTCCCCTCTCCGCCATACGGACCGGCCCAGCCTCCCTGCGCCTCCACGGGTGGCCGGGCCCGAACTCCCTCCAAAGGAGCTCAAGCCCAGGCCCAGAAGCACCCCAGCAGCAACCGACTAGCTCCGCCCCGCCCACCTGCCGGTCTCCATGGTAACAGGCGCGCACCCCAGCAATTCTCCCTCTCCCCTCTCTTGCCCCTCCGGCTCCTACCAGGATCAGCGCCTCCATCTTGGTCGCCCCGATGCCGACGTGGAACACAAGCCGCGGCTGCCCAGCATTGGCTGGCTCCGTGCCAATCTGTTTCTTAGACCACGCCTCCACCTTTCTAAGCGACCGCTCATTGGCTAAGTCGCTTCTTCCTCGTCTAACCTGCGCATCCCGTTTTCCTACCTCCTTTTCAGCCAAGGCTACCTTTTGCGAATTTCTAGCGTGGGGCGTGACGCACCTTGAAGACCCTCCCTCATCTGTGATTCGAAGAAAAAGCTGCCGCTCACCTTGCCACGGATCGATGCCGAGGAAGGCGGGGAACGGAAGAATGTGACTGTTTCCATGGTGAAGGAGAAAGCGGTTAGGCCGTTTCGGCCCTAGATAATTATTGGCCAGATGCGATCACGTGATCGGAGAAAGATCTTCTCTTCCTGCAAAGGGGGAAATACAGTTTTATTCGTTTTCAATGGGGGGATTTCATTGCTTTTTAACGCGGAGGTTGTATGAAGGGTTGTCACGGAAGTTCAATGGAAGCCTTTGGAATGATCCCGTTATTAGGATTTTCAACTATATTGGGAGTTTGGGGAAGAAGTCACACGGACGAGCAAGCAAAGTGGAGGTGGAGAAAGTAGTGTTCGTTGGTGGCAGCGAAGAGACTTGTGGCATTTTAAAGGCGAAAGCATTTGTTACGACATCGACTTTCATCAGCCAAAGCTTGCTCTTAAAATCCACGAAGTACCATCAGGATATTCCTTCCGTCATTGTTTCCTCCCTCTTGTGTATATTATCCTATTGATTTAAAGTTTACCAAAGTTCAAGAAATGTATAAAAACAGTATATACTTTAATATTACGTAATACTTAATCAGCATATTTTAATGAGGATACTACAAAGTCAAAGATGCTCATGTTATATTTCTCTCATATCCGGAATTATATAATATTATTGGCGTTTGCCCTATCTGCAAATATTGCCAATGTCCATGTTTCATTCCGATTTTTCTCACAACACTAATGAAATGTAACCTCTTGCCTGCAATGGTAAGCTTGGTTGAAAGACATTTCTCAGACCATGCCTGAACAGATCAAAACATCTCACCCGGTCTTTCAATGTTCACACTTTTGTAACATTTTCTGTTCAAATTCTAAGAGAAATAAATCAGATTTATTTGTATTAGATTTATGCCCTGCCTGATCATAGGATTTCAATTCCTGGCTCAGTGGCTAAGACGCTGAGCTTGTCGATCAGAAAGGTCGGCAGTTCAGCGGTTCGAATCCCTAGTATAGGTCTGCATGAGCAGGGGGTTGGATTAGATGATCTCCAAGGTCCCTTCAAATTCTATTACTGTTACTGCTCCCCATGACACTGAGTGGTAGATTGTACTGGGAGAAAATGACTGGCCGAAAGTCACTCTGTAATAATATTCCATGGCTCATGTTGTAATTGCACCTGCGGCCTCTTGGTTCTAGCTCCACGTTTTAACCTCTATGCTTCACTGGCTCTCTTGCCTTTATCGGTAACAGCAAAGCTTTGGCAGATGGCTGGCAGATGATTTCAAGGAGACATGTGAGAGCTCTATGTAGAAATAACCACCAGAGGGCCAATTTTAATTTCAGAGGAAAGTCCCTCAGAAGCATGTCTTCTGTTAGACAATTATCTATTTATCATTGCTATAATTAGTATGAAGGGGAAATAGTTCTATCTCAGCAATGTCTGATGAATTTCAGCTATCTGTTCCCCCCCCCTCTTTTATAGAGAGTTTTTACTTTTCTTGGCTATATATGCTAAGTGTAGGAAATTAGCACCCATTCCTCTCCTAGAAAAATGAAATATTCTAGGAAATATTAAAAAGCAGAATATTTCCCCTAAAAGAGAAATAGAAATCTTAAGACAGAAGCTCAGCCCCAGCTCCCTACCCCCGGCAGATACTTTGGTTATTTGCAAGACAAAAGGCTGGGCCAGTTAATCTACAATACAAAAGACAAAGCCATTAAGCCATAATAAGAATTGCCCAAAACCCCTTCATTACATCACCCAGCAAGATTCAACCAAGCCTGGGACACAGACAGCCTACAAAGTTAGCTAAGATCCCCGCCCCCTGGGAGTCTGACAGCCAATGGGATACATTTCTTGTACAGGAACAGGAAACTCTAAGGCCCAAGAAAGTGTATAAATATATCCCTCTCTCTACACCATGTGCTCTTTTTTGCCCAGGACGCAAAAACCCCATGTGGTCCTGTCCACCATTAAGCCATCTTTCCAAGCAGTCTCCATGTTTCCAGAGTCTTTCTTCTCACTTGGAACTGAACCCCAGATGGACATTTCTTCCAACATAAGGGAATGAGAAAGCACAACATATCGATAAAAAGTTGATCTGTTTTACTGTGAGGGAGTTGCCATTGAAAAAAATCCCATAGAGGTAAAAGGAAGAAATAAGAATCTTTGCTAAAGTAGACTAGGTAGGCTAAGCAAGGTTTTGCCTATATGCTGAAAATGGCAAACTTTCCTTTTACCATCCTGTCCAGGACAAGGTTGGTAAACTGTCCATTTTACTTTTTTCCTCTCTTAAAATTAAAAGCTTAGAATATTTTTGCTTCCAAGAACTCTACAGCAAAAGACTCTTCTAAAAGTGCTCATAATACCGTAGATCATGAGAGAAGTGAGGTTAGGGTTAGGCATATATTTAAAAACACAATTAGAGACATTCTAAATGATATCTAGAGGAATAGATCCAATAAATAGGCAATTGCATATGGAATAAAGCAAGACCCTTTGAAGATACCTATTGCATTAATTCTCATCTTTTTTGTGGTACAGTTGTTAAGGGATCCAAAATGGCTACACTTAGTATTAAAACAAGATACAAGAATGTACAAAGCCTCAAAGTGTGATGGAATTAAAGCTATGAGATCTGGGCTGAGCCCCAACAGTAGCAATGAGATGGAAACAATAGTAACTCTTTGCGGCCATCTTGCAGTCATTGGTAGTAGAAGTGTAGTATAAACATTCAACCATGGATTATGATTTAGAGTGCTATTATATGACCCTGATCCTTTGTGGGTCACTTAATAGACCATACCATAACATGAGCTATAAATTTGTGTTTCATTGCTTGAGGTACTTGAATAATTGGCATTTTTTTACTGAATAGGGATGTTGAAAGAAAGGGAGGAGTTGGTGGGCAAATGGAAATAGCTTGTGTTTTTACCAACTATATTGTATATTCCAGATTGCAAAATGCAAGAAGTTCAGAGAACTGAATTGCACAATATATTTAAAAAAGAGTGTTTGTTCTACTTTAAACAACCATGATTTTGTTGGCGGTATTTTCCATGCTTTCTACAGAAGGGAAAAACCAAGTGTTTGACATAACATCTCTCTAAAATATTGATCCAGCCAAGGCTTAAAATACATAGTCCTAATTGAAAATCCAGTTATCTGCAAAATGTTAACTTTAACTAGTTATTAGAAGACAGAGATTGTTCTGGGGCTATTTGAGCATATTTTCAGAATGCATGTGAAGAGTGTACCATATAAAGAACAGTGATGTCTCATTATTGGCAGCTGATGCAAACTAAAATTGGGCTAGTAAAAAAATCTCACTTCACAAGCAATGTGAGATTCCTGTTCTAGGCAACTTATTTTGCATGTCATAAAACAGTATTTAAGACTGAATATTAAAATAATATCAAATATTGTTTATGACCTTGCAGAGTGTTTGATGGATTTTCTGCCGTTAGTACAAAATAACTTGGTTTGACTATGTTCTTCAGATCAAGGCCTTTTTTTTTCTGCTTTCCCGCTGAAACACCTGGGTAAGGAAATGGTGTGGAAAAATAACTTTGTGTTCAACTAGTGTTGAAAAAGTAATAGTAGCAATCTCACAATAGCTTCTTATGCATTGTTTTATAGGAGATCCAGATAATTAGGTTCCCTTGTTGTTACCTCCAACTTATCTTTCCCACCATTTCTTCTTTACCAAGAAAAGAAGGCTACATCATGCCATTTGATCAGTTATGCTAAGAACGCCCCATCGAGATGCAGAGAGTCAAGACATAAGCTGCAGGTCAAGACACTCAGACAAGATACACCGAGAATGCCGCCCTTTCACATCCCCAGTCCTCTCACTATTTGTAATCATAACCATTTCACGATCTGAATTGGGATCTTTGCAGCACTCTTGTCAAATAGAAAAATGTACTTAAGTGTTGCATTTTTCTGCTTACATGCAAAACAAAGCATTGGTTTATTAAAAACAATTAAAATCTTATAATACAATAAAGGTAGAAATAAATAAAAAAATAAGATAGGAAATAAGAAAAAATAAAAATAAAAATGAACATATTTTGACTTCAGCCATGTTTCTACTGGGTAATTGCTATTTTGCTATTTCCCCCCTTTCTTTAACCCTTTTTAATCCCTCGTTAAATAAATAAAGTTAAATATCAGCTCTGTCCTTTCTTTTGCTGAGTCCATATAAGGCTTTCAATTTTTTTAAAAAAGTTCTTATTGTATTTTCCTGACCAAACTAGTCAGCTTCACCCTTTCTGCAAGTTCTGTCAATTTTATAAACCAATCCTTTACTGTGGGTATTTCATTATTTTTCCAATTCATCTTTGTGCATACAATAGCCTGGTAACATCATCAGTGCTGGTAGGGTGAGGTCTTGATGGTTCTTTGGTTCAGTAGTGGGATTCAAATCCCGTTGCTACCAGTTCATTCGTGGGCACGCACGTGCGTGCGTGTGACGCTTCTGCGCATGTGCAGAGACATCCGGGCGGGTGAGCGGAGCCTCCCGCCTCCACCGCTACTGGTTCACCCAATCTGGGGTGAACCGGTAGCAACCCACCACTGCTTTGGTTGGGCTCTTTACTCTTAGCTTGTTTGGCAGTTCCTTGATTGAAATTAAAGACAAAAGAACCACCAAGGTTATTCTCGCCAACATTGACAAGGCAAGCTGTTATAATATAAATTGAGAGCAAACCCCACTCTTCACCAGCACTGATGATGTTACCCAGTCTGGGTAATAAAATGTCTGCAAGAAAACAATCAAACTCAGAGAGCACCAAGGAGCCCTTATTTCAACCTTGAGGTACAAATATTCCCCTCTATTGATACAATAATCTTGCTGCAGTTACCATATACAATATTATTTTCCCACATTTTTTTCTAGTTCAGCATCCATAAAACCTAATAAAAAAGCACTGCCTATTTAATATATGTGTATTGGGATAGAGGGGATGGAGGTTTCCCCCTCTTTAAGAGCAGCTTCTCTGAGTGATATGCTGCCCTTGTTTGCATTCCAGTCAGGACCAGTTCATATTCTGTGGGTGGATAGGAAAGTATTAAAAACAACAAT